TTAGGGTTTGGGTTTTTGAGGTTCTGGGGCTTGGCGCTTGAGGGTTTATAGGTTTTTTGTTTGAGTACCTTTTGTCCACTCTCCGAACAGGGCAGGGTTTAGGGTTCGGGGTTTAGGGTCTATGGTTAATGGTTTGAATCTAGGAGGTCACTTCAAATTGACTGCCTTAGGCGATGGGAAATCACAGGCTTCGGGTTTACTACACCCTAAACCCAAAACCCTAAACCCTAAACCCTGTGGCACAACGACCCGACATCTGGAGCCAGGAAACCCGGCGATTCCCCCCCCCCCTGAAGCCGCCCAGGAACTGCAGATGACCACTTAAAGCCTAAAGCCTAATTCAACCTTAAACCCCTAAACCCGAAACCCTAAACACCTGAACCCTAAACCCTAAACCCGAAACCCTAAACCCCGAAACCCTAAACGTCGAAACCCCAAAGTCTAAACCCGAAACCCTAAACCCTAAACCCCTAAACCCATAAACCCTGAACCCGAAACCCCGAAACCCTAAACCCTAAACCCGAAACCCTAAACCCGAAACCCTAAACCCGCAAAACCCTAAACCCCAAACCCCCAAACCCCAGACCCCTAAACCCCCAAACCCTGAACCCTAGACCCATAAACCCAAAACCCCTAAACCCTAGACCCCTAAACCCTAGACCCCTAAATCCTTAAACCCTAAACCCTAAACCCCTAAACCCTAAAACCCTAAACCCTAAACCCCTGAACCCTAGACCAAACCCTGAACCCTAAACCCCTGAACCAAACCCTGAACCCTGAAGTGCCAGGACCCCTAAACCCCTAAACAATAAACCCTAAACCCCTAAACCCCTGAACCCTAGACCAAACCCTGAACCCTAAACCCCTGAACCCCAGACCAAACCCTGAACCCTGAAGTACCAGGACCCCTAAACCCCTAAACAATAAACCCTAAACCCCTAAACCCCTAAACCCTAAACCCTAAAAACCCTAAACCCCTAAACCTGAACCCTGAAGTGCCAGGGCCCCCGGTCCCAACAGCAGCCGAGCCAAGAGGCAGCAGGGGCATCCTATTGGAGCCGGCCAAGGCCTGCTGAGCTCAGCTGATATTTAGGGTTTAGGGTTTAGGGTTTAGGGGTTTAGGGTTTAGGGTTTAGGGTTTAGGGTTTAGGCTTCAGGGTTTAGGGTTTAGGGTTTAGGGTTGAGGGCTTCAGGGGTTTAGGGTTTAGGGTTTAAGCTTTAGGCTTCAGGGTTTAGGGTTTAGGGTTTGGGGTTTGGGGTTTAGGGTTTACTAAACTTTAGGCTTTAGGCTTTAGGCTTCAGGGTTTAGGGTTTGGGGTTTCTGGTTTGGGGTTTAGAGTTTAGGGTTTAGGGTTTGGGGTTTGGGCTTTAGGGTTTGTGGTTTAGGCCTTAATGATTAGATAACAGGGTTTTGGCCTCCTTTTCTGTAGAGTCAACATCCGTAAGCCCTAAAACCCTAAACCCAAGTCATGGTATATGAATAGGGTTTAGGGTTTAGGGTTTAGGGTTTAGGTTTCAGGGTCGAAATAAGGAAGCCTAAGGCATCATATTGGTCATGATCTAGGCTTCTTTGTTGGAAGATCTCCGGATCTGGGATCCCAGGGCTCAGTGGTTTTAGGGTTTAGGGCTTTAGGGTTTAGGGGTTTAGGGGTTTAGGGGTTTAGGGGTTAAAGGTTTAGGGTTTAGGGTTTAGCTATAGGGCTTTATGGCTTTAGGGCTTCAGGGCTTAAGGATTTTCGCGCTCAGATTTTCGTAGTAACAGTTTAGGGCTTAGGGCTCTTGGGGCAGTGGCTCTAAAAGGGTGCTGCGCAGGTTTCGGGGTTGCTGTTACCTAAACCCTAAACCCTAAACCCTGAATCCTAAACCCTAAACCCTAAACCCTTCGATTGCAGGATTTGGGTCCAGGCTACCGTTGAGGGTCCAAGGTGTAATATGGGCTTAGGGTTCAGGGTTCAGAAAGGTAGGCTCTTATTATAAACCCTATTTTGGGATTTATAGGGACCCTACACAAAGTAGGTTCTGGTAGGTTAAGGTAGGGTTTAGGGTGACCGAATACACCGCCACTGAATTCCCAACAGATACAACATACGCCGCTAGAAGGTGCCCTCGACCGTCTGCAACGTCTTGGACTTGCACATAAACTCTTGGGATCAGGGTGACGAGTTGACGACAATGCTGGAAGCCTGTCTGCGTTCTTGACGTGCCTTCATGGTGTCTGCGTGCCACATCTTTCCTGAGATAGGATTGCTCCCCCCAACGAAGCAGCAAAAAACCAAGAAGCAACAAGGTGGACCAGGAATCGTGGTTTTAACCCACGCATGGCAACGTTCGCACGTTGAGAGGGGTGTTTTTGGACTGATTTATTTTTTTCAGGATATCAACGGGTTCGAATGTGGTCTGTTGTTGAAAATTACCACGTCTGGCAGCGTGTTCATTGCGTTCATGTCTTCATGTCAAGGGTATGCTTGCTTGATTTTCGCTGTTTTTTGGGGTGTTGTATTTTGGGATTTTTGGGGCATGCGTCAAGGCATCACTCTCGGGGAAAGGACGAAACGCAGTTCAAGCTTTGCGGTTGCGCGCCTCAGAGCAACAAAGAAGAGGTTGAGAGACCAAGTTTGCGCGCTACTCTTGGGGTCCTCGTACGTTTGTATGGCTTCTGTTTAAAGTTTGGCAAGAGTAGTGGGGCTAGGGACAATACTCAAGAGGATTATTTGTGTTTGTAAGGCTTGCCTTCACAGTTTGGGAAGATAAAAGCACAGGGGCTAGGGACAATACTCAGCAGGATCATTTCAGAAATGTAGGCAGGATTTACTTAAAGTTGGGGGCTCGTTCAAGATTCCCCACCCCACCCCCAAGATTCCCCCCCCAACCTCAAACATGCCTGTAACCAGTTTAGGGTTTAGGGTTTAGGGTTTAGGGTTTAGGGTTTAGGGTTCATCCCCACCCCCCACCCCGCAGGACGAAGCTCAAAAGTAACAAAAAAACAGCGTTTTACACGCGGCCGGAAGTTGTAGCGTGAGCAGAAACAACAAGTTTTGGGTTTTGCTATGGCTCCTCTGCTCTCACACTATGGAATGCCACCATGAAACTCCGATTCGAACCAAGTTGCCCAAGCAGCAAAAGCATATGCAATCATAACCGTCCTTCTCGCTTTGGCACTCGAGTCGGAGACATCGCGCTGGCATACCGTACAGTGCATAGACAACCATTTGCCTATGCTGTCGCAGCCCGGAGAAAGCATGCTTCACGCTACCCTACAATCAGGGCTCCCATGCCTTCGAGGGCATCTACCCTGCAAACACTACGGCAAAAAAAATACAAAAAACATGTTCCTCAACATTCGTCCTATTGCAGGATCTGCATGGCCCAGCTTGCGATCACCACCGCCTCAAGGTCGGCACCAAAGCGGAACCAACCCACGATCGATTCGTGCCAAGCCTGTTCCCAGACGCCCTTCAGATGGTCATAACCTGGCCAAAGGTCATCGCTGAACTCTGGGCACTACCGCTCTGAGCACAAGCGCAACAACAACAACAACAACAAGAATAATAATAATAACAATAATAACAACAATAACATTTACAATAACAGTAACAGTAACAATAACAATAACAATAACAATAACAACAATAACAACAACCGCAACAACCACAACAACCACAACCACAACCACAACAACAACGACAGCAACAGCAACAAATACAACACCACCAACACACACACACACAAAAAAAAAAAAAAAAAAAACACCCAAAGAAAACTAAAAAAAATAGGCCACTCCCCAACCTAACTCCTTTTGGGGCTTCGGACTGGTTTACTCCTTTTACGGATCGGTCTGGGTTGACTCCTTCTGGTGCTTAGTTGGTTTGGGTTTATTCCTGATAGAGTTTCGGCCTGGGTCACTCCTTCTAGTGCTTAGTTGGTTTGGGTATATTCCTTTTAAGACTTCGGCCTGGGTTCACTTCTTTCAAACAGTGTCAACCGTCACAAAAATCGGGGAAGGCCTGGTGGCGAAATGCAAAATTGTCGTCACTTTCGGATGTGTTCCGGGTCCTCGTGTCCCAAAAGTATCAACAGTCACAGGGATCGGGGAGATCCTGCTCGCGAAATGCGGAACTGTCGTCACTTCGGTACCTTTCTTGGGTCCTCGTGTCTCAGAAATGTCAACCGTCACAGGGATTGCGGAGGTCGGGGTCGCGAAATGCAGAAGTTTTTGTGGGTTCTTTTTGTCTGAAAAGTGTCAACAGTTACGGGGATCGGCCAATGAACACAAACTGCGCGTGCAGCTTGGACAGCGCACCCTGCCCGATATGCCCGATGAAAAGCATGATAATTAAGATGGTAATGCTGCTTCTGGCTGCTGCAACCGCAGTGCAAAAGGTTGACTCACAAATCAACAATAGCATCATCATCATCATCATCATCATCACCACCAGCCTCAGCAGCGACAGCATCCACAGCGCGGTGTCGCCATCATTGTCGTCGTAATCAGTTCACCAACCAGTAGCAGCATCGTTGACAGGATGCTTTTCTTGCTGACCGAAAAGACGTCATGCGTCTCGACACAAGTACCGGAAGCATAGCCATCACCGTCATCACCAACAACAACATCATCGTCCCCCTTGAACATCATCATCATCAGGTATCATCATCGTTGTCATCCTCCTTGCCATCGTCGCGGCCACCACCAGCACCGCCATGGACCATCGCATTTTTCCCATCAACACCACCATCATGGTCGATACAGGCACAAATATCCTCGCTGTAATCGTCAGCATCGCAATCTTGGCAATTGTGGTTTAGCAACATCTCCATGCTCGCGTTGCTCTGGCCGTCCGCTGCTCCAATATCGTCAGGATCATCACCACCATCAGCATCAGCATCATCACCTTGATCGAAATACTCATTGGCATGCCTGGGCTGTCTCAAGCGAGCTCCCAACTCGCGTGCATGACAACATGTCGCGGCAATAACACGTACAGCTCGCAGGCAAAGTGTGCCTGATAGCAGCCGGCCAACAGAGGCCGTATCTGGTTGCCTTGCGAAACCTGACACGACATCTTCACAGCATCGTTGAACCAGACTTGAGATCTATCAACCCCTGCCAGTGCTTTTCCCCCTGCTAAGATCTGCTCAGTCATCTCGTTTGTGCATCCTTTGAGCTCGTGGCCTGGCCTCGTTGATGTACCACTCAAGTTGCTGCAAGGTCCAGGTGGCATCTGCGACCTGTCCGTACGCAAACGTTGCTATGATTCTCAAAGCAGCGATGACTTTTAGCATTGACCTGATCAGATGGTAACGCATATGCGCCGAACAGGAGAGGCGAGCACGCGGGTGCATGTGCTCGAGAGTACCAACCTAGGAGATAGATATATGAAGCATCAGAAGCGATACCGGCAACAATGGAATGATGCACTGCAGGTACTGCGGGCAGACAATCATTGAATTTAGTACCCTGTGCTGACAATCAGGCTGACAAGGCTCTTTGTTAAGCATTCATTGCCTGAGCACACTCTGCAAGCGCAAGTTCTTCCCCGAAGCAGAGGTTGAGCTCTGGGGAAACTTCGGTCGAGGTGTAAGACGAGCGCAGCCTCGGGTTTTCTCACGCGTTGTGCATCACCGAGCACCCCGTGCATCATTTAGAAGCTTCCTATACACCCGAAACCACGCCGGCGGCGAAACCAGACTCGTTGCAGACTCATTACAGGCTCTCCAATCCTGCAGCACGGTAGCGCAAGCTTTTCCTTGCCACCATCGCCACCCAGGCGGCGAAGCACAGCATCGACATAGTCGAGGCGAACCCGCTCTTGAAGTGCGCCTCCCAGGCTCTCTCTACCACGGTACACGCGATGGAGAGGATTTCGGGAATCTGACTCGCCCCACTCAGCTGAGCAACGAGCGCAAAGCGCAAGCCCAGGAACAAAGACGAAAGATCCCTGCTAAAGATTGTTCGAGGAACACAAACAGCATCGAAGCTGACACCCAATCTGCGCGTGAGAGCGTGGGTGTGCGCATCACCCCCGGCACACACGGAGACACACATACATACATACATACATACATACATACATACATACATACATACATACATACGTACATATGAATATAATTATAAATACACATAAATAAATAAACATATATATATATATATGCTTCCTGTGCGTGTGTGGGTGTGTGTTTGTGTGCTATATGTTGGGGTATTCACGTGGGAAGANNCAAATAGGCAGGGATTGCACACGAAGAGCTCCAAACAGACAGAATCGGGTGGATCTTTGGGGGGGGATACCATATATATATATATATATACACATAGTATACACATGTATGTATATGCGCTACCAATTCTCGCGAGCCCTGTTTCAGGGGCGGGTAGGGACTAGTATCTCGTCAATTAGGATTTTGAAAGTGATGAGATGCTAAATGCTAAATTCAAAAAGAGCAGGTGCAAGACCGTGCACTTGTTTGTCCAAACAACAAACTCTCATAATTCGTCTACGTCCAGATACAGTGCTATAGATCCTCGCCCGCCCAGCCGGCCGCGCCCCACCCGTGCCCCGAGGGGGACCGCATCCCACATCAACCCAAACAATGCAAAACCATGAAAGCCGCTGCACGTCCACAATACGTTCCAACTGTGGCATGACTCGTGAATACAAACTCCAAACGCGACTCATGCCACCAAACAGGTGGCTGAGGACTTTTTTGGTGAAATTTCCAACCACTCAATTTAATCAGTTCTTACAATATAGCAGTGAGGAGTGGGAAAATTCAACATAGTCGCTCGACGTCTTAAATATTGCCCAGCACGGAGAACGATGGTTAGATTTAGGGTGGCTCCTAAAAGGGGCGAAGAAATTAGACGAATTGGGAAGGCGGGCTCCGACCCTGTGACGAACAGAGTTATGTCAAACCCGTGTTTTGGTCTAAACTTGTCTAAGCATGTTCACGAACCTTGTTTCGGCAATGTTTTCCATATCTACTTAAGTTATGCAGAAGTTGTTTATTGGCCAGCGCGACAAACTGCAGAGGCCCAGGGGTTTATGCAGAAGTTATGCAGAAGTCGCCTGTCTGAGTCTATGCATCCTACCGTACGCAGGTAACCTCTGCAATAGGAGCAACGTCAGGGGGGGGGGGGGCTCAGACACTACTTAAGCCAGGGAAACAGAAACAAAAAGCAAAACAAGCTCAGGACTCAAGCAGACGAAAAGAAAAAGGTGTGTTTCTAGTCTCACTTATAACCGAACCGGCGTTCCAGTAACCATATATATTTAATACTTGTGTATATATAGACACATACTACTGTATGCGAATATACGTCTTAGTAAAATGAAATACCACCACACCAATGTACTAATATACTAATATGCGAAAATAGTAAATA